GCAACTCCTGCAGCTGTGCTAGTACCAAGCTGTATTGGTTTATCCCCTCCTTTGGACTCTGATAGCAAGGCCGAGAGGGGGAACTAGATGGCTTGGCAGCCCTAGTTCTCCATATATCCCACCCAGGCTTGTAGCACACTGCGCTACTCCATCGTCTCTCAAGACAGATGGATGCCAATGACGATGGAGAGATATATAGTTCATTCTCAGGGTGCAGCTTCTTCCAGTCAAATGCTTAAAATAACCATTCAGACAGATTGTTACCTACAAAGGAAAACCATGAGGAAACAGATTTTATTGCAATCTACTGCTATAGATAAGCAAAGTGGAAACAAGGCATAAGTGAGGAAGTGAACAGCCTAACAGGTGTCTGTCATCTGCTGTGGGTACTCGCAGTCACTCTGAGCTTTGCAGGCAGTGGTCAGTGTCTTATAGAGAACATTATTCTTTGTCTTGTCATCTTTTTCTACAGAAATAATTTATTTTCATTCAGTGACTTCTCTTTGTCTGGGCCGCTTGTCCTGTATTTGTGAAGTCCACTTTATTTACTGATAAACATTAGAAAGGAGTGGGGAGGGAATACATGTCTGAATTCATTTTTGTGATAGGCCCAGCTATTTTTCCATTTCCATTTAATATCAGTTGACTGGTATCCGCTACATCAGGAATAAAGAAATGTCCCAGACTTTGATGATTTAAAATCACATCCTTGAGAGCACATCTGATGCAGACATAGCCTTACTAATTTGACACCAGAGACTCAGTCAGATGACATATTACATCTACTAATACTGATTGTGGGTGTACATTTAATGTAAGGATAATTAGTTGGATTGGGAAACCAATTTCAATTTCTGGCCTTGACTGGTGCATCCACTTCACACTAATACTCTTGGAAAAAGTTTGAATCTATTTCTTCTTTCCCTAGTTATTGGTTAAATAACAGGGTAGACCAGACTCTCTAGTCTTGAGTGGCAATCAGTCTCAGAAGAGTATTCTGAATTCAAAACTGTTAAAACAATTAAAAGGAAACACTCCACTATCTTTCCCAAGAAGCCATAGCAATTCACAAATAATAAAGGAAAGGAAATCTGTGGAGAGGCATTTAAGAAAAAAAAAAGATGCTAATTGTAAACAAACAATATAGCATGGAGCAAATAAAATAAGGAGATTTCTATATGAAAAAAAATTTGAAATTCATTTGTTGACACTTCTCTGTAGCCAAATTGGTCAGATGCTGTTTTTGTCAGACAAGCTCTCAAGTATAAAAGAAAGAAAAGAAAATCTCATTGGAGGTCATTTGGGATTCATACTGATCAACTTAGAATCAAAATCAAGATACAACATGCCACAAAACACAATGAACGTGTTAACATTTAAATTCTGCTCTTATTGAATTTTTTTTTGGTGGCATAACTTTTGGCTGTCTTGCACTAGAGCTTACAAACGATATATTAAAAGGCCAAAAAATCACTTTTTGCCCAATTCTCCCTCCATCTTAAGGTGGCATAGAGGCTCAGCAATATACCAAGTAGATAGCAACACCAAACAAATACAGCTGTCATGATTTTGTATAGAAAATATCTTATTAAAATAGGAGACATTGTATTTAAGCTAGTTCTTGGTACTGCCTTACTTCAGAACAGAGGTGATCATGGCTCTCCACAACTTCCTTTCTCATGTAGCTCTTAGCAGTTTTACTCCCTTTGCTACTTCTTGCTAAAATGTATAAAATGATGAATGTTTATTTTCTAACCAGAAGAATCATTTGGTGGGAAAGGCTCGAGTTCAGGCATTTCTGATTCAAACCACAACTGCCAACACTGAGGATTCTCCACCAATTGGACGCACAAGCTGTCTAGGGGACCATTTAGGACAGAAAGAGCCAAAACATTGTCCCAGCAATAAGATGGTAACCAACTTGGAGGATCGTCATTACACTGAAAATCTTGTAGGGTCAGTTGGATGCTAATTCCTGGGGTTCCTGAAAATAAACAACACAGCTATTAGTTTCTTCTCCATGAGGCAGGAAAAAAGGTTAATATGGTTTTATATACTGGCATAAATAAATTTAGTACTTATGTCCACAAATGCACACAATTATATACACTCCAGTGCAGAAAAATGAAAAAAGGAAAAGCAAACCAAGCCCAAAATTGTGGATATTGTTTCCTTATAAGGAAACATATGACATTCATTAACTGAGCAGCTAGTGCTACTTTTGATTGAAATCCATGATTGTGTTGGTAAAGAAAAGCAAAAGAAAATGAATAATGAGTGTCAACTTCTGGCAGAAATAAGTCTGCAACAGATTTGTTTCTCAACCGCAACACTTGTAGCCAAAATCCAGTTCAACGACTGTCTGACGTAACAATCCAACAGGCCACATAGAGATGTCAAAATTGGGTTGCACACCTAGCCTTTGCTTCTCGCCAACAAGAATGGTTCGCTTTATACAGCTGAGGACTGACCATATTTTACATACGAATCACTAGCCAATGAGATTTTGCGTTAGTCATTCGAGACCACCTGTCATAAAATATGGGCGCCGCCATTTTGATTTTTTATACCGTCGAGCAACCAGACTTTACATGATGCACAGATTCGTGGATGTTTCCAAAGTAGGCCATTCTTTCCTTTCCTCGTTCGTCCGGTATTTCATTTTGCCAGGGACTGTTGCTACATTTGCGTAAGCGTCCACTATTCTGCTTACATATTACACATGCCACTCATTGCCTCTTAGAACAACGAACTGTACTCAGTTCAGCAGAACCCACAGACTACTGCCTTTCAGTTCCGCTACAAATTCACAAAATCGTTTTGGTAAAACAGTTTTTCTCAAGTTCACTGTTATCACTCTTTCCAGTTTTGCTGGGGAGGGGGTTCCTTCATAACCTTTTGTTTGAAGTAATATGGAACATCAACATCTTGATTATGCCAATTTTTTATGATGTCAACAAACTAGAAGAGATGTTAGAAAATCAAGGAGGGTAACTGTATTTTTTTCTGAAAATCAACAGAGTAATTAATAATATTATTAATATTACTAAATTAACTAAGCATAGTGATATCAATAATAATAAAATATGCCATAATAAAATAGAATAAATTACTAATAAGAATAATACATATCAATGAAAAGAAAATAATATAAAATAGAATAAGATAAGATAAAATAAGGTTAAATAGAATATGAGTCATATACATGAACATAAATATGCAAATAAATAAGGCAAATGAATAATTAAATAAAATAACAAATGCAAATAGATGAGTAAATAAGCATGTTTCTAATAGTAAGACTTTTGTGATGTCAACGAACACTCGTTGTCACTTTCGTAATGCTTGTTGTAGTAGAGACTTTGTAATTGCAGATACAACTATAGTAACACTGTCAAATAATATTAGTGTCAGACGCCTTCGAATAACACTCATACTAATTAAATTTAAAGATCAACAAGTTCTTGTTTTTATTAATTTTTTAGTGTTTTCATTAATTTCTATTTTACTGTTGGTGTTTTATTGGTTTCTTTTAAATGCCAGGAATGTTTAGATAAGGATGTCTGGCTGCGGTATTCAGTATTATTGAAGGAACTTTGGTGTTGGTTTTATCTTTAATTCCACTCTGACCATTAACCTTTTATGTATTACATAAGGTATATATATATATATATATATATATATATATATATATATATATAAATTTGTTTATAAAAATTTACATAATTAGATTTCATTATATTAATTTTAACATTACCATATATGTACTCAATTAGTAAATAAATTAAATATGATATCTTAAGTCAGTACAAATAAAAATATAAATATTAAAAATGTGACAAGCACAACTGATTATTAAAGGATGAAAAATTTTCACAAATTTTTATGTCCTTCTAGGGACTTTGTTTTTTTCCAAATCCTTGAAATTGTTTTGCTCATACTAAGTCTCAAAAAACTCAATATAAAATTCACTATTTGTGATACATAATGTTGAAAATGTAAAATTATTCAACTTTTTAAGATGAAAAATCTCCACTTGATATTAAAATTACCACAAAAATTGATTTATTTAAGATGAAGTGATCTATATGTCTCTAATTTGCAATTAGATACATTGTATTCATTTTCAATTTTTCTAGTTGAATTGTTCACCTCTATTGCATATGATCCATTATTGTACATAATTAGGTTACAATAAAATTTGTGTTTTAAATGAATACTACCTTAGGAAAATTGTTGTAGTAGAGAAAGGACCCCTGTACAATAGATTTCGGTAGGGCCTGAGACCCATGCACTAGTCCTATATATTTATTAGATGTATTATGTCATGCTTTTTTTTTTTTTACCTTGTACAAGTAGAGAAAATTCCTCCCAAGATGCAATTCCAGAGTCATTTGTTTGAATTGTTAAATGAAACATCGTCTGGAAAAGTAACCAGTCATTTTCATGAAGACACCTGAAATTAAAGAAAGCAATGTTCAAAAAATCCTTCCAGCAGATAAGTTGACACTCAGGAATTATTTGTTAGTTTACATTCATCTAAAAATGAAATTAGATAAAGCAGATTTTGAGAATTTTGCTAAAAAATCTCTTATCCTTTTCAGAAAGTGTTTTTAAAATGTTCAGAAGAAAAATACTTATGCAAATAAAAAAAAAAATAAATAATTCACACTTCTAAATAAATCTGTAACAAATTTCCAACTCATTTATCTGAATGCTAACAAGCATGACGCTTTGTTTGATTCACATGCTGAGGGCCATTTGCAATACAAAAAGTGTGCATGCATGAGTACAATTCTTATAATACTATCACTTGAAGTGGTAGACAGTGTGCTGCCCAGAATAAGAAAATACTGCATTTACATTCATCAGCATTTGCAATCTATGGTGGACTGTCCATTCTACAATTCTTGATGTTATAGTTTGTTCCTTTTCTTTCCTCTGCAGAGACCCCATTTTAAAGCCTCTGCTTACATTGTTGTCGCAGACCTAGCAGCTTACAGCCAAATCACACTGAAACACCAATTCCAATATGATCACAGAAGTTAAGCAATGTTGAGCCTGGTCAGTACCTAGATTGGTGACCACTTGGGAATATGAGGTGCTGAAAGTTTAGGTGTGCAGGTGGTTCAATGGATAATGGCTCAGAATTATTAATCAAAGAGCTGAGTTCCAATTCCCATTGGGTTTGTCATATTCACTTACAGGCAAATAGCCTTGGTATAAATCCACCTCTAATCCCTCCAGCTATGTGTTAATTCAAAAGAACTTGTATCAATAAACTATTATTAATTAAAAAAAAATTCTCACAATCAAGAAGAGGTGAATCCATAAAAAACTTGTTAAGTGCCATCTAAGTATTATTTAACAGAAGTAATATAACAAGGAACATCCATCCACCATTCCTAGGCCCAATACCCATTGCTGTCAACAGCATTCTGGATAATCACTCTTCAATAGGATCATTGGTGGCTGTTGAAATCTATCGTGTAATAGTTTTACAGCCATACTATATTCATCCTATATATGATCATCTTTGTACAGCTTCAAGTAACTGAAGTTTGGTGTTGTCAGTCATCATGAAGCCTCATGGCTCTCCATATCTTCCTTTTGGTCATCATTTGTGAATTGCCATGAATTCTTGGGAGAGATAATGAAGTGGTTTTCCATTGCATTTTTTCCAGAGTTTGGCATTCAAAGTTTATCTTCTCTTAGACTGGTTGCCAAAAGCAGGTAAAGAATTCAGTCTGCCTTACTATTTAACCCATAGCTGATTGAAGAAGAGATGGATTTATACTTTTTCCAAGGGTATTTGTGCAAAACTGAATATTACAAACTCAACTGAAATTTGAACTAGACTCATCAATTTTCTTTCCCAAGCAGCTAAACATTACGCTACCTGCACCTCATATATAAATATATTAATATTTAATATAAGATTATATAATTATTTATTAAGATTATAATAATTAAGATATGAAACAGAAATGTGCATCCAGTGTGAAAATGAGAGAAAGAAATCAACTTGCATTTGCATTTGTCGCAGGATTCTCTGAGTGAGAGCTTCAATGTAATGCCTGATTTTATTTGCAGACAGACTTGTGTAATCAACTCCAGGTGTTGGGAGAATTGGTAAATCAGGAAACTGGAACTGGTTGTCTGTATTTTGTGTACTTTCAGGAGAATAAGGAGCTGAAAAGAAATTAAGAATTATGTGAAGAATAGAATTACGAAATAAAATCAGGATAATGACAAATTTTAAAGATTATCCATTAAAAATATATTTATCGATTTGCAGTCTGATTTTATTGTGCAAATCACATAAAGCTCAATAGTTCGAATTTACTTTGAAGAATTTTTATCAAATTTTAAACAATTTAAATGTCAAAATGAAGCTGGAGTGAGATTTTTAGATAGTTTCAATCTTTCTATTAAATTAATTCACACTAGCCATGCTCCCAGTTATTTTATGCATACTCCAAAGCTTAAAAGCTGTTGATAGGATATTCAGTGCACATGTATATGGCAAAACCAGGTGTAGCATCTGTCCATCTCAATCTGTTTAGCTGTCTCAAGCTAATATGTATGATTCTGTTTGTCTCAAAACTAATATGTATGATTCTGTTTGTCTCAAAACTAATATGTATGATTCTGTTTGTCTCAAAACTAATATGTATGATTCTGTTTGTCTCAAAACTAATATGTATGATTCTGTTTGTCTCAAAACTAATATGTATGATTCTGTTTGTCTCAAAACTAATATGTATGATTCTGTTTATCTCGCTTTAGATATGCTTATCAATGTATCTATTTGAGAAACAATATTCTGTGAAGTCTTAAATATATGAAAGTTAAAATAAAACACAAAAGTCTTCGTATAAAAACACTTGCATATATATATATATATATATATATATATATATATATATATTTGAAATTCTTAATGCAAATTTATAATGTATCTACTTTTAAAAAAACTATGTACCCCAAAACAATATGAATTTTTGTACTTATCCGTTTGGTGTGTCACAAGCCCGACTTACATGTATCTTGATACTTTGACTTGCTGGGAGCAAAAGAGACTGATTTACTTTCCCACCTAATGATGTCTCATGTGGGTCTTCTCAGGTAACATGACTTTTTAATTCTTGCAAATATTTATAATTATTTTTTATTGTTAGTTTTGTTTGGTTCAATGGGAGATAATGTTTAATTCTCCCTACAAACCTTCTAACCTAGTAGTGGAATCTAGTAATAGTGATATTGGTTGTCTCTTTTCTAAGAAACATTTCAACTTGCTTTCATATGACTGGGCTTACTATTTCTGTCTGTTTTCTGTATCCATTATTATACCATCACTATGAGGATGTTTTTCAGTTATTACTTGTTTATCACTTTTAGGTTCAATCTGTGGTTTCAATCTGTCTATTGACACTGTTGACTGTATCTCATTGTTCATTTTAATTACAAAATATTTCTCAATTCTACGTAACACTTGAAAGGGACCAGTGTAAAGGAGAACTTCCAGAGGCTTGCATGAACTCTGTCTACTCTTAGCCATACACTTTTTTACATGTCTTAAGCTTGTCAGGAACATGTATTGACATGACTTATTTACAGAGCTATAATCTTTGTTGAATTTAAAGAGTATAAGGTACATTGTAACTCCTTAGCAAACTTCTGATTATCTATACTATCATTAGTATCATCTACTAGCAACTGAGAAATCATGTGTTCCTGTAACTGTAAAGAAGGGTGAAGTATTAGAAGAATTAGGTTTGACACAGATACCCATTCATATTATTGGAAGGGCATCCAGCCATGATTCCTTTCTAGTTATTAATGTTGTCATAATTGTTCTATGTGCACATTTGATCATTCCATTATTTTGCAGATGTAACTAGTCATGCGCAATCCATAGAAGCCAACTACTGAGGCTATCTATGAAAAAAATTTGCTCTCAAAAATGAATGCCACAATCAGTTATCATGTGAAGTGGAACACCCCAACATGTGATCCATGTGTGAATGAATGCATTGCCAACAGATTGTGCTGTTATACCTGGTAATGGTTCTACTTCAATCCACTTAGTTGTGTGGTCAATACAGGTTAACATGTATCTGAAAGGAGTATTGTATGTTTCATAATGTCTCCTAATAACAAGGAGTGGGCCAATTATATCCAAGTGAACCATATTAAAACGAGTAGTAGACAATTAAATAGGGTGAATAGCAGATTTAGTATGTATTTGAATTTTGCTTTTCTGGCGAGCTTGACATTCATTACACATTTCTTTTATTGTCTTGTCCATATAAGGCACCAAAAAATCTTGTTTTGATAAGTTTACACGAGGTTTTTAATTCCTGGGTGTGATATTGCGTGAATACTATCGAAAATAGATTTTCATAATTCACCAGGTATATATGGTCTGGGAACACCAGTAGCATTATCACAGTATATGGAACTATTATTACCAGTACTAAAATTGTATTTTTTTAAGTCTGGAAATTTTTGTAACTTGGGGTCCTTAAGTTGTGCAGCAGCTATAGCTGACAAGTCACACAGATCTACCATAACTGCTAGGGTAGGTCTAGATAAGCAATCACCTATAACAATTTGATCTCCCTTTATGTAGCCTATATCTGATATATATTCTGTGAGAATTGCTAATTGCCACTGCTATCTGACTTAGCAGGGTTTAGACTATGGAATGCACCACACAAAGGCTTATGGTCAGTTAATAATAAAACTTGTTTTCCTTTGATAATATGTTTAAAATATATTATGTAGCTGAATATGCTGCAAAATGTTCCTTATCGAAAATCAAATACCTCGTTTGAGTTTTTAGAGAAGAAGCCTATTGGAATTGGTGTTCCTTCTGCTATTTGAGGCATGGCTGCACCAATTGAATAATTACTGCTATCAGTAATCAACTGATATTCAGTACAGCCAAACTGTTGGTGAACTAAAAATGGAAATTCACTGATTTTGCTTTTAATATCGTTAAATGATTGCAATTCCAAGTCATTTAATGTAAATTTAGCATTATTTCACACACATATTTTTATGTTAATGGCATGACTATGTCTGCAATTTTGGGATTAATTTTGTATTAAAAATTTACCATGCTTAAGACATAACAAAGATTCTTACTGTCCTTAGGAGGGGGAAAATTCTGTAATGCCCTAACATTATTTTGTGTAGGTCTAATACTGTCAGAGCTAATATTATAACCCAAAAATCGACTGAAGTCACATCAAATGTTGACTTTGCTATTGAAATTTTTAGATTATTATCATGTAGGATTTTTATAACTTTCAACGTCTTTTATGTGTGCTGAAGAATCATCGCTGAAAATAAGAATATCGTCAATGTATGTAAATACACAGTCAACATGTTGAAAAGTCTTGCCCATACATATTGGAAAAGTGGATGCTGCATTCTTTTTAGTCCAAATGGCATGTATTTGTATTTCATGCAATCCGAGAGGAGAAATAAGTGTTTTTTTTTTTTTTTCATCATTTTTTTTGATTTGATGGTATGCTGATACCAGGTCGATTTTGCTAAATCTTGTTTTGTTGCTTTGTTTATCAGCAATTGAGTTAATGTTCAGGATGGAGTATTTATCACTTTTTGTAATGCTGTTTAATGCGTGGTAATCACCACAGCATATGAAAAAGGCCATCTGACTTTTTAACAACATGTAGGGGGCTAGCCCATTCACTGTCAGAAGGTAGAATGACACCATTGCTTTGTAATTTTTAAAATTCCCTCTTTACTGTCTGGGTTTTCTTTTCTAATAGACATCTAGCCTTGGTAAAAGTAAGAGCATAACTCCCGGTATCAATTCTATCATATACTCCTGAATATATGCTTGCTGGGTTGATATGTGGGGATATAATGTTGGGATATATTTTTAAAGCCTTTAATGAAATCAGGCATATTATTATTTACAGCTAAGTTAATAGTCGTTAAATGTTTTTAGTTTCTTTGAACATGATTTTGTGGGATCGGTGATCGTTCTCTTTTGGCAATCTATTAATAAACCAAAATTGTTTAGAAAGTCAAATCCTTGTAATGGATATTGAATTTCTGCTACTAAGAACGTC